AGAGAACTCAAACAGATTTCTCATTTTTTTCTGTTTTGTCAAACATCAAACACACTAGATTTTGAATTTTCATATGAAAACCGAACAAGTTCTAAAAATTGGTTTTCTAAAAAAAGTTCTCCATTCTTTTTTAAAAGTAGTCTGGGAAAAGATTTGGCTTGCTTTCTCAATCTGTTCTCTGTGATAGAGATTTTTCTTTCTTGTAAATTTTAGATTCTTGCAGCAATACATCATATTCAACTTTATGTTTTCCTTTTAAGGGCCAGAACACTCCCCAGACTTAATCAGGACAGGTTATCTCTCCAAGCTGTTGTGTTGGGGGTGATCCTTTAAAAACCAGGGATTGGTATGGGTACTTAACTATTACTGAATACAACACATTTTAAAGAATGGAAATGGTGACTGATAAACAGCTGAGGTTTTCAAAAAATTTAGTGTTTCCCCTTTCCACAAAAGTGGAAGCTTTTGATTTCTTCAACCAAATGCCAAGAAGCAAAGAAACAAGAGCGAAAGCGGGTGGGAGCAGAGATTTCCTTTCAGCAACAGGTGAGTGACCACGGTCCTTGCAATGCTCATCTCCCCAAGGAGACGGCTCCCTCCCTCGCCTGAACTCACTGGGGAGAGCTGGAAGAGAGGTGAAGGTCACCAACACGTCAGCTACTCAGATGGTGGCAGTGAGTAATGAATATGTAATGACTGCCTATGAATTAAATGCATTATTTCAAGACAAAGCAAACCTATTCTTCACAAATACACATATATCTGTTCAGAAATTTTCAGAAATCCACTTTGTTAAGTGATGGCAACCACGCTTTCCTTGGGTTTTTAATTGAAAACTACTTACAATGATTTCTTTTTCCCTACAATTTATCAATTTTTTTTTTTTTTTAGATGCATAACTTTTGCTTGCTGATGAAAACATCTGGACTAGCATAGCTTGAACTGCTTTGGTGAGATGAGGAAGGAAGACACCACCATATTCAGCAATAGATCTAATGCAGAAAAAGAGAATGGAGAAAGGATGCTGCTTTGAGGTAAGCTGCTGCACTTCACATCCAACCCTGGCATATAAGAAGTCCAATTTCTTGCTCATTCAGCAAGAAACTCTCAATATTTTTTTTATTTATAATGTTAATGATTTGATTCACAACAATACTCACATGTCTTAATTTCCTTTGCTTGGTGGAATCATCAGATTTGTGTGTCCAGCACAAATGTGACTGCAGGTTTTTCTGAAGTTTCAGGAAGCTTCACCTTGTCTCTCTTGGACTGATGACAAGCACGCAGTGAGTGACCTGCCTTGTGGCTTTTCAAGGAGTGCAGAATGAGCTTTAGAAGATACTTCTAAGCAAATTTGGTGTTGTTACCAGCACCCTGCAAAATGCAGGCACATGAGCACATGGGCAGGCACACAAAATCCAAGTTTTTATTCCCTTATCAAGTTTAAAAAACCTAGCGCACTTCAAGAGTAAAGCCCACTCCTCCCATTAGGTTTAGACTGGGAATGTACCTGCCTTGTGGTTCCACATGGCTACAACAGGCAGCCTGGATGCTGGGGCAGTACCCAACTCCTACCCTTCATATTCCTCTTTGCTCCTCTGACTTCCCAAAGGAAAAACTCTTCTTTACCGTTCAGTTTCCCTGCACTCTCTCAGGGCACTCAGCATTTTCCTCAGAAGGCAGTGGTATTTACTAATTACCTCTGGCACCTGCAATAGAAACAAATACATGTTAGCAACCCTCCAGCAGCTTTTGCCCTCAGGGATACACAGCCTAAAAATGGCTGTTTCCACGTCATACGGCTTGTCACACATTTATGCATATCGAAGAAAAGAGTCTGTAAATCTGAACATTAGTTATTCCTCTTTTCAGAAATCTGTTCATGAGGCACACTCGGCTTGTATCTCCCTTCCCAGCCAGCGTGGGGAGTGTTGGCAAGCATCAGAAGCAGGTCACGGAAGGGCTGTTCAGACACAAAACGGCTTCACTGCACCCCAAGCTCAGCAATTCAGCGTGGCCTTTGAGAAAATGGCAATGTTATTGGGGTACTGGTGGGAAGGGGGTTAATAATGAGCCAAGAATAACCAGAGGTCCCTGAAAACATGTGGAAAGGTACGTAAGAAGAGGGGGGAAAAAAACCAGGAGGCCCCGAGGAGCAGGAAGTTTGTAAACATTTCGCTGTTGGTTTGCAGAGGTGAAGGTGCCAACCTTGGGTTTCTGAGCTCCTGGCCTGGTGACCCGGGACAAGGGCACCTTGCTGCTCGTGTGCCGTGTTGGTTGGACGCACACACACCAACCTTTTCTCTTCAAAGGAGAGCTGTGGGATACCTCAGGCAGTTAGGGCACACGGTGAAAGGCTATTTCAGTCCCAGGCACAGGCAGATGTACAAAAGCACGAGGGCAGCCTAATGAAAGGCAGTTTGAAATATTCTTGGCTACGAAGTGGAGGGGAAGTACGTGAAAAGAAAACAAAATGTACACCGAATCCACTCAAAATAATCGCAACTGGACTGTGAGACTTTTCTGCTTAAAATTACAGAGGCATGGCCATGTTTGCCCGTTTGCTTTATTTCTAGCAGTTTAAAAAGTTTAAAATGACTGTGTAATTAGTAATATGGAAGATATATGATAGACTAATACTATTTCAGTAGTCGCTATTTTAAATGGAGGAACTGCCAATACCCTCCCAAAACGCAAAGGGAGTGTTTATGAGACCAGAAATTACCACAACAGAGGACGCTTAAAATCACCCGTCGCAACTTGTGTTAGACTGCTCACAGAGCAGGTGCTTTACTGGAATAAATCGAAGAAATGGGGAATCTGCCCCCAATTTCCACGGTGTCTCCGAATTCCATCGACGCCGTCCACGCAGGTCTTTCTGCTGGGTGGCTTGCGAGCTCAGCCCTGTGCCTCAGTGCTGCTGACCGAAGCATGGGGTTGGGAGGCTTTCACAGCGCCGGGTCGTGGGGGTCTGGCCTGAGCTGCTGCTTTGGGCAGCGGCAAGTGTGTGTGTGGGGGGGCCTGACCTCCACAGCCCACCGGGACCTGCCCTCCCTCGCTCGCTCCCGGCAGAGCCGCAGGCAGATGGACGGCCGGCGCAGCCGAGGCAGCCCCTCTCAGCCCGGGTGGGAGCAGCGCGAGGGAGTGGGTGCTCCCTGCTTCTCCTCGGGGGGTTCCTCTTCTGCACAGAGGAACTCCCCCTGCGACAGTGCCCGGGGGGATTTCGTGGTTTCCAGCACGGAGAGAGCCCCTGAACGAGCGGCGAACCTTCGGGAGCCTCTGCTGCCAGTCATATCGCCTCTGGTGTACTTCCAACAGGTCCCTCTGGCTTTTTTAAAAAAAAAAAACAGTGTTTTTTTAGGAAGGCATGAGAGCCTTTGCACCCAGGAGAGCAAGGGCAACCTTTCTGAAGGAAAGGAGAAGTAAACTCCTGAGTGCAGGAGCATTTAACATGAGTGCCCTTTGGCTCAGCGCTGCACCTTTCCATAGTGACCCATTTCAGAGAGCCCCCCCAGCAGCTGGTCTGAAATGGCATCTCTTTGCTTTTCTGCCTTGGGTGCAATTCCCAGGTGAGTCAGCCGGGACTTCAGAGGGGTTTGGTGAAAGCAGAAGCCAGCTTTCTATGCACTGGGGGCTTGCAAGCGACTGTTGAGAAGAAACAGTCACTTTTCCTGGCATGCTTTAGTCAGTGTGACCTTAAGAGTGTGAAAAAACAGGGGGCCTGGCGGTGACGGCCGTGGTTCAACAGCAGCGAGAGCGTTTTCACAAGAGGACTTCAATTGAGTCGTCAACACAGAAAACTTCCATGAAGGCAGCAGGGCTTTTGGGTAAAGTTTGAAGGGTCAGGCACTTGCAGTGGTCTGGAAATCTTTAGAAAAAGATGAACAGGCTGTGAAATGCTGTATGTGTTCAGATCACACCATCAAGGCCGGTTAGGGAGGAATCACCTCTTAGCATATGCAAAAAGCACCCAACGAAAGTTTACTGGCGCACCGCTGCAGCATTTAATGCAGACACCACAGTTGTGTTATTGATCAGAGTTTTCTACTTTACAGACCGACAAGGTGGTCCTACATTTTTTTGTCATCTTAAATGGAAATGGTTGATGTCCAGAAACCCTGAGTAACGAAATCAGCAAAGCTAATGAGGTTAGCATCTCTTACTCATCAGAAGATTTATTTGCAAAGGCTGAATGTGCATGTAGGGGTCTGGCTTTAAGCATCCCCTCTAACATTTAGGCAATTGAAGATAGTTTCCTAATAGAGTTCTTGCTGCACAAAGACAGCAACCCACCACCCAGCCAGGTAATTTCCCATGTATGTACTGTCTGGGTTTTTTGTGATTGACTTTGTCTTCTCTTAAAGATTTCTGAACGTGTAATTCAGCTACCTCTCTATCTATATGTGGATTTCTTTGGACAAAAACAACTATTTTTTTCAAAATATTCTTCAGCATTTGAGAAAGATGGGGTTTTTTCCCCTTGAAGGGTTTGATTGAATATGTATCGAATCTACATGTTTCACACTGGCCCAGAATTTTCTGGCTTAAAAGCTGCAAAAGAGAGAAGGCACTAGAAATGTTCATTTTATAGTGATATATTTCATGATGGTTTTATACTTCATGAAGTTACAGTTGGTGCCCTTAGTACCACACAGTTTTGCCCCTAAGAATTGAAATTGGATTTTTAGAAAGCCTTTCAAATGTCTTTTGGTAGAACCGTGGTTGCTCGTCTCGATTTATGGTGGCAGTCACCTCCAATCTCAAAGACGTATTTTAATGTTTTGAAGGTGCCTTAACTCGTGACTGAAAAGATTTTGGGTGGGCATTGCCAATTCTTTTTTTAGAGGATGGATGGTGTGTTATAAACCCGGTATCTAAAAATGCCAGCGCTTCTCACTTCTCCCTCAAAACGCGGTGATAATTACATTTAAATTTCAGAAGATGGCGTTGAAGATTTGCAATTAATATCCTAAAGTCTGCGTGTAGGCTCCACAGCGGCGGCCTGCCCGCACAGAGCGCGACGGCTGGTTTTTTTGATCTGATACGTTACTGCAGAAAGGATGCGGATGCGTGTTGGAGACGTTAAAACAGAACAACAACAAGAAAGTGTCGTGGCATATAACACGTGTTTGAAACCCAAAAGGCGGTAAGAAAGACTTTCATGAAAGCCCGGACCTCGCTCCCTCACACCCCCCCACACACACCCCCCAGGCTCCCACCACGTTCGGGCAGGGGGCTGTCGGGCAGGGGAGCGAGTGGGGTGCCCACCAGCCAGCCCCGGCTGTGGTGCCGGTGCTGAACCCAGGTTTTCCCGGGGCAGCACCCCCGGAGCTCAGCGGGGCGGGAGCGGCTCCGGGCCGGGGCTGGCGGCTCCCCGGCTCCGGCTGCGGCCGCCCCGTCGGGGCTCGCTGCCCGCGGGGCCCGGCGCCCCCCTGTCCCCCCCCCCCCCCCCCATTTCACACCTTACGGGCTGCTCGCCGGGGGAGAGCCACCCGCGCCCCCCTCCCCCCCCCCCCCCCCCCCCCGGATCGCCATCGCCCCGGGGAGCAGTTTCTCATCCCCCTCCGCGATCGCGGTTCGGTGGCCCGGGCAAAGCCGGGCTGGGTCTCGCAGGGGAGAGGGTACCGGCCCCGGGTGCGGCGTGGCTCCGCGAGTGGGTGGGTGGGTGGGCGCCCCCGCCATCTCCCCTAGCCGCCCGGGGGCTCGGCCGGCGCCGTCTAGAACGTTTCTGGTGGGTGTAGCTAGCTGGGTCTTTTACAGTAAAAGCCGCCTGGCTATCATAGGTAGGAGTTTCCCCACGCTATTTATGTATATGTGTCTGTCTGTATAGATTTAAAAAAAAAAAAAAAAAAACAAAAAAACCCACCGCGGACGCAGAGAGGGCGCCGGGCTGCGCAGCCCCCCCCTCCCGCCCCGCGGCGTGTGTTTACCAGCAATGGGCATGTGTCACTCCCTCAGATGTTTTCCAGCTCGCAAAGTCCCCGCTCCCCTCCGCCGGCTCCACCTCCGGGCCGGGGCCCGCCTCCCCCCCCTCCCCGGGCACGACGCCCTCCATCATATAAAGAAACTTCCCGGGGCCGCCGGCCCAGTCGCGGTGCGCCCCGTCTCAGCAGCCGCCCCGGCGGCCCCTGCACAGAGGTAAGCGGCGGCGGAGCCCCCCACCCCAGCCGTGTGTGTCGGTGTGTCTGTGTGCCCCCCCCCCCCTCCATTCCCTCCTCCCAATTCCCGGGCTGCCGCAGCGCTCTGCCCGCCCCCCCGGGCAGAGCGGCCCCGCCGCGGGACCCGACGGGCCGGGGATGGAGACGGGGATGGGCGGTGCGGGCACCCCGGTTATCCCCCCGTCTGGGCTTCTCCTGGTGCTATCGGCATCTGAGCGAGCCGTTTCGCTTTTTTAAAAAGAAATAAATAATAATTTTAAAATTCCCTATTTTTTCCCTCTCCCAATCGGTTCCCCCTGCCCTGGGGAGGTGGTGGCGTGTGGGGAGGCGGGGAGGGGTCGCGGGAGCAGGTGGGGGGGACCCGCTGCATGCTCTAAGGTGGGGAAAAGGATTTTTGGGGGGGTCTTCACACGGGCTGTGGTGGCCCACGCGCGGGGGAGTCGCGGCCCCCACCGCCCCCCAGGCACATCGTGCGTGGGGGAGAAGCTGAGGGACTGGGTTTGGTGTCTGAGGGGGAGGGAGGGGGGTGTGCTGCCGGCTGAGGAGGGGTGTAAGGGGTGCGGAGCTGCCCCCGTGCCCACAGCAGCGTGCGCCTGTCTGACAGGGGTCTCAGAAAGTCTCCCCGTGTGTAGAGGCAAAGACTGTAAGCGAGGAATCGCTTTTTTATTAGATGTAATGGTGGGGGAAAACCCCACCAAACTAAGCTTTTGGGCATTCAAGCACGTTTTCAGATCGGGGAGACAAACCTGGTGCCAGGTGCCCATCACTGGGGTCGGTGTCCTAATGTTGGGACCTTTCCTCTCCCCGTGCACCTCTGCATGTAGCTGGGGCTCAGCCTGGCTGGCTGCAAGCTCCCGCGTCCCCGGGGACAGTGCCCTTGTGCCAGGCTCCGTGGGTTGGTGTCTTTCCACTTTTAGGTATTTGCAATGTATAGATTTGAATGTTACTATATATGCCTGTTGGGAGCAGTTGGAGGGGTAGATATGTATAGGACGTCATGTGTTCAAATGTGTCTTGCTGAAGTGAGCTTGTGAAATCGACTTTGATGTTATAGTTAGATGCTGTCTGTATAAATCATAACTGCATGTGAAGCCCTCCAAGTCGTGTGCACGTGTCTAACATTACATATGTGCACTGTCATATGCAAATACATTTTTATGCGTTTGTTTTTTTTTTTTTTTTCTTTTTTGGTTAAAAAGTAAAAACCCAGTTGAACTCTGAGCAGGACAGGGGGGTTATGCCTTAAGTCACTTGCAATGAAAATTTCAACAACCCATGTGTGCTCATGCAAAACAGTGTCGGGGCAGGGGGGGAAGTCTGTCAAAGTCTGTAGCGTGAGCGGTGCCTGGGGAGGGCAGGGGCGGGGGGGGCTGTGCCTGGTTTCCTGAGGCTCTGTACCGTGTTTCCCTGGCTCCCCGGGGCCCCCCTGCGTGCCGTAGCTGCCGTTTGGCATGATACATGTGGCACCGGGGACTGGGGAGCGCTGCCAGGGCTCTACACGGGGACTTCATGTGACCTGTGGGTTTTCCTCTCCCCCCTCCTGCCCCTCTCCCCCAGCCCCCCCCCAGCGAGCCAGTGCTTGGGTGTGTGCGGAGAGGTGGGCTCGGTGAGGCACCCCAAAACCCCTCACCCCGACCCCTGACACAAGTGGCATGAACTTGGAGCCGGGCGAGTGCGGGATGAACTCAGTGAGCTGCGGCAACGGGAAACTCCGCCAGTGGCTGATCGACCAGATCGACAGCGGCAAGTACCCGGGGCTGGTATGGGAGAACGACGAGAAGAGCATCTTCCGCATCCCCTGGAAGCACGCGGGCAAGCAGGACTACAACCGTGAGGAGGATGCCGCCCTCTTCAAGGTAGGGCTCGGTCTGGGGTCAGGGTTTTGGGACGCACGGCTGGGGCAGGAGGGGTGCCCGGGGGCTCTGGGGTGGCCCCTCGCCATCCCGTGCTGGCCGCCCGTGTCCGCAGGCTGGCTCTGCGGGGTGCCTGCTGCCCCCGGCGGCCCTGGCTCTGCCCTGGGGTCCCCCGCATTTGCGGGATGAGACCGCCAGCCCTTTCCCTCTTCTCCGCCTCGAGCTAAATGCTTGTGGGACTGCAGCACATCTATTTCCACATTCATCTTGGATCGTTTCTGCCTTCCCTTGTGCCTGCTAAACTGCGTTTCCTACCTTACTGTGCTGCTTTTTTTCTCAGCCTAAACCTGTAGGGAGTAAATTAATGCACATATAAGCACACATATATATGCTGTTTCAAGCATTGTGGACTTGCACCTTGTAGTTGATTCTTTTTCTTTTTTCTTTCTTTTTTTTTTTTTTTTTTTTTTTTCCCCCCCCTTGTTCTTTTGATCGTTTGAAATGTTTCCAGGCTTGGGCTCTTTTTAAAGGAAAGTTCAGAGAGGGCATTGATAAACCAGATCCCCCTACCTGGAAGACAAGATTAAGGTGTGCTTTGAACAAGAGCAATGACTTTGAAGAACTGGTAGAGAGAAGCCAGCTGGACATCTCAGATCCCTATAAAGTGTACAGAATAGTGCCAGAAGGAGCTAAAAAAGGTAAAGCATCTCTAATTCCCTGTGTAACAGAGTGTGAATATGTCTCATTGTAAGCATAGGAGGACCGAAGCGTGCTTTTCTAGAATGGCCCTGCAGTCTTTTTAAGTCTTTTAAGGAGCCACAATGCAGGGCTCAAGTGCAGCTTGTTCTGATGACTTAAGAGGCTGCGTCTGCGAGAGGACTGCTGGCGTTTGAGCCAGAGCGTTGAAAGGGAGCCCGTGCAGAAGATGCAGAGAGGTGCCCTGCACATCGCTGGAAGAATTGCTCTTTTAGCAGGAACCTTCCCACCAGTTCTGTGTAGTGAGAGCCAAGCAAGCAACTCAAGGGACAGGCAAAAAAAAAAAAAAAAAAAAAAAAAATTGCTTGCTGGATCTAGGTTTTGAGTTCAGGGAAGAACAGAAGTGTTTTGAGCTGGGCAGTAGGTAACTGCTGTGGGGGAAGGAGCTGGAAGTGAGGGATGCCCAGCCCACAGCCTCCTGGGCAGGGGCTGGGGGCTGTGCCGGCCCCCCAAGAAGCCCCTGGTGCCAGGCAGGGCTTGGGGGAGGCAGGGTCTTGGCAGGGCCCGGGCGGGATTGCGGCGCACTGGGTATGGTTGGGCAGCACTTTCCTGTGGGACACTGGGGAGCCCAGCGGGACAGACTGCCTCCTGGAGCTGCCTGCAAGGGAGGGCTGGGAATCATGTCCCAAACTGGAGGGCATTTTAGTCCTCCTCTTGTTCAAAGGCAAGGGGGAATTTGTGGGGATTTGTCTTCGATGTGCCAATTCCAGATTTCCTTAAGATGTGGTTGACATAATTTATTTTCACCCCTCTGGTGAATGCAGGTGCAAAACAGATCAGCATGGAAGAGCAACCGTTAATGATGAACCATCCGTTTCCAATAACGTCTCCTTACACTTCACTGCCATCCCAGGTATAACATCAGTTATGCATTTCGCTTGGTGCTTATACATTGAGCATCACCATTTCTGTGCTATGTGCTATGCTTGTCTGTGCTGGTGTGGTTCACTAGTTCTCTCTGGGAAGAAACTTTATTATGAAAACCAAGAAATTGAGACAAAGCTTTTCTAATGTCGCATGAGGCACAAGGCAGTTGATGTCCTTTGGTGTTGTTTATCCCTGAGTAATAGCTCTTTTCTGTTGGACGATAAATATTAGTGCACTGCCATTCTCTTGATGCCAGAATTGAAGCTTTTCTCTTACGAGCAGACATTTACCAGCAGTGCTCTGACTGCCTTTTGTTATTCCATCCTGCTTGTTATTTACACCAGTGGTGAGGAGTTCATTTCAAAGCCTCACTGGTGGTGGTGGCAAAGTGCCATCCATGTAGCCTGGGCAGTGCTTAGACCTCCGTGGGCCTTGGCAGAGCAAATCAAGGAGCTGAAATGTGAAAGCTGATGCAACGCATAGCATTAGTTTTGACAGCTGCTGAGTAAAAGAATATCTTGTTAAATTGAATAGGTACCAAACTACATGGTGCCCCACGAACGGAACTGGAGGGAGTTTGCCCCGGAGCAGCCACATCCCGACATCCCCTACCAGTGTGCCAGCGTCCCCTTCGCAGCTCGCAGTCATCACTGGCAAGGGCCTGGCTGTGAAAATGGTAAGATGTTCCCATGTCGGGTTGCTTGCTGAGGTTGGTCACCTAGAAGGACCGCAGATTTCACGTTTCTTATTTGCGGCTTTGATTGGAATTAACGGAAGTGGCTGGAGAGGAGTGCTGGGCTCCCTTCAAAGAGAGCCACGGGGCCCAAGGCAAGAGCCTTTGTCCTGGCTCTTGCTTTCACTGCCACCACACGTGTGGTGTGTGGGCTGTGCACACGCTGAGTTGATACAGGTCAGCTCCCAAAAGTTCTCAGCTGCATCAAAAGCCCTGAGCAATAAGAAGGAAACCAACCCCCCAAAAACCCCAAATGGGAACATGTGTTCTTTAGTTTTGCTTTCTGATTTTGGACATTCTGAGGCACACATCAGTGAGGTTTTCCCTCCAGTCTTGTGGATTAAAATGGCATTATTCTCCTGAGAGCATAGCTGAAGTTATTACTTTATTTTAGTGCCGTGTCAATGGGACAGCTTGTCATGGATTGAGTCTCTCTTGGGGCTGGTGCAGCAGAAACAGAAGAAAGGGATGTTCCCTTCCCTGAAGATCTCACAGAACCAGAGCCTAACATAGTCATTGCTTTCCCAACTCTGCATCCTTAGGAAAAAGCGTGAATTGTGAAAATTGGCAACACTGAAGCCTGCAGGGGATAAAACATAAGAGAAAGGGAACCGTGCACTGCAGACCCTTGCAGGATAACTCTCCTCAGGATGCAGGCTTTTTTCTTTGTGAGAAGAAGCAGCTCGTTCAGAAGGGTTGGAAAAGATGGGAAGCAAGGAAGGACTTCTTAGAGCAGATGCTGCATTTTCAGAGGACATCTCTCTAGAGGTTTTGGTGCAGAGGAATCTTTGAGTCTGCTAAAAAGCAAATGCTTGGTGCACTGAAAATTTTGCTGGCAGTATATTGGAATTATTAGGCAGGATCCTTTCGCTTTTAGTTGAGCTATTTGCTAATAAAAAATTGAGGTAGCAAGCTGAACTAACTCTGCCCTGAAGTACATCCTCTGCAGCAGTTAAACACACGTTCGGGTGCTTTGCTGAATTTGGAGGCAGTTGTTAGCGGCTGGTATTGGGTTTCTCACTGGGCTCTGAAACGTGTCAGGAGATGTGGGTGTTTTGTATCTGCATCACTCCGGCTTCTAATCAAGGTGGGTTCTGCTGCTGGGAAAGGCAGCGCGCAAGCATTTGTCTGCAAGTCACTTGCATCATCCTCCAAAGACTTTTACTGACATTAAGAAACAGAGGAAAACATCAGTTGCCCATGTTACAATCCATTTACTGAAAGGCATCTCTTGGAACAGTCTAACAGTAGTCCTGATAATAAAACCCTAATAGTCTCCCGATGCACGATTTTCTTTCCCTACTTTTTAAACAGTGTTAATTCCAGCTTTATTGTTATATCTGTCTTTAGTAAAATTCCTTATATGAAATGGATTGGGATTGTTTTATGCAGGCAACTTTTAAGACCACTATAGCCTAGTTAAAAATGTAAATTATTTCTGTAATAGAATGGCACAATAGATAAGGAAAAAGGAGTAAGGGGAATACTGAAGTGCTAAGGGGATATTTCATGCAGACCCAAACAAAAATACAGTCCAAATAACGTCTGGAAAGGTTGGTAGAGTTGTCATTCCGGGAAAAACTGGGAAGTAGGGCCTTTTTAAGAAGGGGGAAAGAGAGAGAGTTCCTGGTGGGGCCCAGGAAAACTCACTTTTGCACCGCTGTGATCTCTGCCCAAGCTTTTCTTTTAGGATTTAGGCAGCTGTCGTTGACTTTTGTTTGTGAAAACAGGTTGTCAGGTGACAGGAACCTTTTATGCTTGTGCCCCTCCTGAGTCCCAGACTCCTGGCATCCCGATTGAGCCAAGCATAAGGTCTGGTGAAGCCCTCGCCCTGTCAGGTAAGGTCCGTAACCCCCCGGGCTTTTTGGGGAGCTCAACGAGAGACTCCCACTTCTGACTTGCTCTAGCACCATCCCTCCTTTCTAGTGAAATGAAAAAAGAAGAAAAAAAAAACAAAACAAAACCTCTTTAATGAATGAGCTTGGTGTATGGGCCTGTTTTTTCCAGGATATTTAAACACTTGTAGCCCCAGCTCCAAGGAATGGAGGTGGTTAAAGCTAGTGGAAGTGCTTTGCTGGCTCATGGTGTTAGTGCTGGGTTGCTTTGGTGAGCCACCAGATCAGGCCTTCCCAGGGGAGTTTGGAAATTTTGGGCAGTCAGTGGGTTTTAGCTCAGTTTTTCATTTGGGAGGAGCCCCCACAAAAACTGGTGTTACCTGGGCACCTTGCTGGTGCCATCTGGCTTGGCTCTGCTTTGTTATTCCCGGTGAAAAAAAAAGGCATTTGGGAAAGAAAAGGGACATTATTTCAGCTGGGTTTGCAGATGTCTGAATGCTGGGGGACTTCCTGAATAACTCTGGGAAAAGCTGTGGGAATGTGCTTTTCACAGAAATAATGGATAAACCTGTAACATGATGCTCAGCAGGTTTCTTGAGCGGGATTGTTCTCCTGAATCAGGGTCTGTATGTATGTATGTTTGTGGATATGTATATATAAAAATATACACACATGCATATGTTATATATATATATATTCAGTGCTGTGTGAGTTCTTAGGGGTCAACCAAGTTGACCGAATGGCCATTTGAAAGTGAGGCTGGGGATTTTGGGTACAGCCCTCTTGGAGCTGGAGCTTCTCTTCGGGTAGCCGAGTGCAAGTTTGCAGGTCCCCTGTGCAGAAGCCTCCTTTATGCAAAATCTGGGGAGAAACACAGCTACTTCCTGATTAAATCTGAGGAAGTGTACTGAGCTGGTGGGTTTAATTGTGACGTGTACTTGGAAAATGTGATGAACAGCAACTTTTCGGGTGCAGACTTTTCCTTTTAAATAGAAATGTGAAGTTTGCAGGATGTTAGTTCCCACAAAATTCTCACATCAGTAGCTCTTGTAATAAAATGAGAGAACATTAATGCTACCACACCCCAAAAGTTTTAGTATTTATATTCTTTATATGAATTGTGCTAATGTGAGCCTGTCTTCTGGGTGGTGGTGGCCACCAGGCTCAGAAGTCGCATGCAAACTTGTCTCTTGGTCTTAGTGTAGATCTGAAACACAAAACATTCATACTAATGTATCACAGTGATTCTTTTTTTTTTTTTTTTTTTTCCTTTTCTCCTTGTAGATTGTCGACTCCACATCTGCTTATATTACCGTGAAATACTGGTAAAGGAGGTGACAACCTCTAGTCCTGAAGGTTGTAGGATATCCCATGGCCAAAGTTATGAGGTTAGCAGCCTGGAGCAAGTTATCTTCCCTTATCCAGAGGATAATGGCCAGAGGAAGAACATAGAAAAACTGCTGAACCACCTGGAACGAGGAGTAATACTGTGGATGGCACCTGATGGCCTCTATGCTAAGAGACTTTGCCAAAGCAGGATCTACTGGGATGGGCCCCTGGCGCTCTGCAATGACCGGCCCAACAAGCTGGAGCGGGACCAAACATGCAAGCTCTTTGATACTCAGCAGTTTTTGGCAGGTAATTTCCACTATGACTTTGATACCATTCCTGGAGATGTTACCTGGTTGCTCTCCACATCAGCTTCACGGGAGTGCTCTTTTTGTGTCACCTTACAAGTTACAGTAAGAATTACCCCTCACTTCTTCTGGGCAAGTGCAGTCAAGGGGTGGCTGACTCCTGAATAATCCTCTCAAATTCTGCTCTCTGTGCACGTTCAGTGCCCCTGCTCAAACCAGCAGGACCGAACTGATGCTCAGCTGGTGACACCCAAAACCCCACATCTCTTAGAAGCGTAAGAAGGCACCTAACAAAATAGTCTTTCCACAAATGAAGTGACAGAGGAAAGTGGATCCTGATCTTGGATCTGCTAGTCTAAGTCCTGGGTTGGTCTGTGGTCTGCACTTGTGCTGCTTTCAACTTGACCCGGGGCCATCCTGAGATCTTGCTCAGAGTATGCAAATGCCAGCATGAATTTTAGTAGAAAGCCTTCTTTTCAGTCTGTTCCAGTGTTTAAAAGATATCTTGGGGATAGGAATGATTTCACAAGCTCTGGAGTTTCCAGATTGGCTAATACTCTAAGGAAAGAGGTGCATTACCTCTCCAGAGCTCTGTGGGAAGGTCTCATTATGCACAGAGCAGTACACAGGGGGCAAGGGCACGCTTTAGGATGGTGCCTTCTCCTTCCAGCCCATGAAGGGGCAGAGCCTCAACCCTGCTTCCCAGCACTTCTGAACAATTAGAGAGAGAAAAGCTGTCCACCCAGAGAAACTGGGGGGAGCCAGTCATTGTCCCAGAGTCCCTACTGCTTGGGCAGTAGGAATACACGTTGGCCCTTTTTTTGAGATGTGTGTCATCGCTACAGGTGAACTGTGTGCCTGTGGTTTGATGTGTTTTCCCATTAAAACAAGGCATTGGCACTGGCGTGACTCTCTTGGGAGAATAATGCCTTGCAAAATTAAAAAAACCCACCAAACCCAAAACAACAGCTTTAGCATACTTTGTACTCCAGGGTTGATGCATCATCCTAGCAAAATGGTCAAGCAAGAAATGCATTTAAAGAGAGAAATCTCATATGGATGTGAGAATTGACAGTTAGAAAGGGGAATTTGAGGTCAGGGTGTTGGCTTGGGCTTCAATCACATGATAATTTAAAGACGTATAATTCTGCCTCTGATGATGGTTTTGGAAATCCCTTTCCCTTTTCTCAGGTGGTTTTTCAGATGTACTCTGGGTTCTTCCAAACGGTTGACAGGACATCTCTTTTTAGATGCTTAACCCCAAAGATAAGCTCAAGCAATACTTATTTTTTCCCCCTCCTAAATTACTTATGCACCAATGCCTGTGCAAACCCAAGCATGTGGTTGAAGTCATAGTCTGCGGTGTGTGCAAAGTGAGTTTTACATGTGTTGATGCTCAGCTAGGTTTGTAAGTGACTTGCCACGGGCGTATCGCATCTGCATGTTAATTGAATGTATAGGGGTCCCAGACTGCAGTCATGTTTAAGGATTCCCCTCTTAGGAAACTGGGTCGTTCCTTGGGAAGGGAGGCAGGAGATCTCTAGCAGGAGAGGAAATCTAGATCAGCAGAGAAAGGGACAGATGCAGAACTGCTATGGACTACAGCTGTTAGGACCCCAGTGAGGAGCTGGACCCTGCAATGCGAACTGCACCGGAGCATTGAGGCCTGTGTTGAGCAGCCTGTACTGTTGAGAAGCCTAAAATGGCAATAAATCAGAAACCAGGTGGATGGTCTTTGGGAAGTACTGCATAATAAATGCAGTAAATTGGGCTGGGTGAAGAGTAGGAGAATAGAGGAAGAGAATTTGGGAGTGTGAAGGTGGCAGCCAGAGGAGTGTTGGCTTGGCAGAAGGAGGGGTGGCTGGAGCTGGAGTAGCAGGATTGGGGGAAGGTTTGGGGATGTGCATGGGGAGCCCTGTGGTGTTGCAGGAGGTGCTTGGAAAGGGAGATGGAGTGAGTAGAGGGTTTTGGAGAAGCACAAGGCTGACCTCAACCCCCGGTTATCCTGCTGGTGGGAAAGAAAGGGCTTTCTTCTCCAGGTCCATGCCACAGGCTGCTGTGTGGCACTCCCACAAGCATTCAGGATTGGGAGAAGTGCTGAGGCCAAGTAAAACGAGGGGAAATAGGAAGTTCCCTATTAGCAATATGGTTGGACTGGCCTTGGGTGGATTGTCCTGCCCTGTCCTGTGACAGCACAGAGGGAAGCAAGATCTCAGGGAAAATATCTCTTCTCTCCTGGCATATCTCCATAAAGTTCACAGAACTTTTAGGGTGTTTGGGAGGAGACCCTGGGGAGAACTATGCTTTAGTCCTTGTTTTAAGTGAGCTGCCCATTACTTTACTCTTATAACTGACCCTCCCAGTAAGACCAGTAGTCCCAAGCCAGGATTTTTACACTTATTGTGGTAGCTGCTGAATTCACACCTTGATCTGAAAAGCTTTCAGTTAGAGTAGAAATGGCAGCAGTGTATTTTGGGAAAAGATGCATTTGTCATGCCAAGTTCAGAGGCTCTCTTTTCCCTGTATAGCAGGGGGTGCTTCGTTAAAAGACATTGGTTTTAATATTATTTTTAACTTTTTCCAGAAAGCATGAATAGGGTTATAAATTAAAATGAAATCTTTACCAATCAACTATGTAGAAATACTACAAATAATGCAGACTTTAATGAGGATATTGTGTTAGATGGAATTTTCTCTTTTCTGGAAGGAAATGCAGTGTCTGAAACACAACATAGTGAGTTTGATCCAAGTAGAAGTCTCTTGTAAAGGCCTTCCCCGCTATCTTTTTTAGGGGACACTTGGACTATTGGAATAGTTATATAACTTGACCTTTTCCCTTTGCGCAAGGCTGTGAGTTAGTGAAGAGAGTGCAGAAGACACAGGCTCTTTTGCTGGCTCGGTGCATGGCTTAAATAATGTCCTTCACCTTCCCTTGCCTTCCCGTCCCCCACTAGGCACAGTGATGACAGTGGCTCCATGACTATGTGTAGCTGAGGCTGAATTTCGTGCCTGGCAGTACTTTGAGTCTCTGGCCCTACTAAGCCATTGGTTTCAGTGCTGCTGTTGGGTGTCTGCTTGTGTGGGTCCCAGCTACCGCTGGCGTCTGCTCCAGGAGGTTCTGCTGTCAAGGCCCGATAGAAATACTAATTGGAAGACATCCTTGTTTGTGCATAGGAAATGACTTATGAGCAAGGCAAACAGAAAAATTGCAATGTTATAACTAGTTCCCTCTAATCTGTGGGAACGTCTTGGAACTCAGTGTCTTCTCCTTACCTCTCATCCTTTTCCTGACCGCTCTCATTGTCCCCTGCAGTTACTTCATCTTCTCCCACTGTGCTCCAGAGTCATCCATTTGGATCTCAGCCATCCACAAAGTCTTTTTTACCAGCCTGTACTGGTTTTCTCTGGGATAGAGTTCATTTTCTTCATAGCAGCCCGTGTGGTGCTATGGTTTGGATTTGTGATCAAAACAGCGCTGATAACACAGGGATAATTTAGCTAATGCTGAACAGTGCTTGCACAGTGTCAAGGCTTTCTTCATTTCTCACTCTGCCCTCACAGTGAGTAGGCTGGGGTGGACAAGGGTTGGGAGGGGACACAGCTCGATCAGCCGACCCAAGTTGACTGAAGGGATATTCCATACCGAGTGACCTTGTAGTCAGCAGTAAAACTGGCGGGGTGGGGAGTTTGCCAGAGGTTGCAGTTGCTTGGAGTCTGGCTGGACATCGGTTGGCTGGTGGTGAGCGATTGCTTTTTCCATCACTTGTTTTCCTTTTTTTTTGTTTTGTCCTTTTTTTTTTTTTTTTTTCTTTCTTTTTACCTATTAAACTGTCTTTATCTCAACCCCCCAACTTTTCTCACTTTTGCCCTTCTGATTTTCTTCGCCATCCCAGTGGCAGGAGCAAGTGAGCAGCTGTGTGGTGCTTGCCTGCCTGCCGGGGTTAACCCTCAACGTGGCCCTTTCTCTATTCCCAGAGCTGCAAGCCTTTGCTCACCATGGACGTCCGCTGCCGAGATACCAGGTTGCTCTGTGCTTTGGGGAGGAATTTCCAGATCCGCAGAGGCAGAGGAAACTAATTACAGCCCATGTAAGTAGGACTTTTACCTTACCTAAGAGAAACATAGTCCTTGGAGGATATGAGTCTGCCAGTGAGGCTTTTCTACCTTGTGAGGGAGGTGATAAATTCTTGAAAATGCAGCACCATTCAGACCAGAGTTGAATCCCCAGATCTACCAAGGACTGACTGATAGCCCTCAGTAGGGAAGGGCGCCTGATTTCCCTCTCTGTAGAGCACAAGGCTCATCTGTGATCTCTTGGAAATCCCTTCAAAACCTAAAGCTGAAAGGTAGCCTGGAAGATCTGGGCCGCGTTGTTACCGCTGGCCCAGTTGCACAGCGCCTTGTGCTGCCAGGCGGGTGCAGGACATGGTGCTTTCACAGCTGCAGCACCTGAAGGTGCTCCAGAATCCCAGCTGGCATCTCAGGGACCTCAGCCCTTAGTGGGATGCAGCGGCTGCCTGTGCAGCTTCAGGGTTAAGGTAGCTGGTAAGCTCACAGGCTGACTGACCACAGTTCGCACACACTCAAAGCTAGTGTTTCAGGATGCTGTCTGAGAGAGGGTGATGACGGAGACTGAGACCAGGTACTTTCTAAATTGGCTGTATTGGCCCATAAAACCACAAGAGAGGTGATAATGCACACGTTAGCAGCAGGGCTTAGCTTACTGCATCCTTGGGAAGAAGACTGGTATCTCTCTTAATTTTTTGAAAGCCCCTTTGGTAGCAGCATGGATCGCAAGCCAGATTTTTGTCATAAGCTGTGGCCTCCCCTTATCTGTGTAGCTTTTTGTGCTGCCACACCACTGCTTAGTGAGTCTCTGGGGTGGAAGGTAGGAAGCTCACAAATCCATCCCAAGCTATGCAATGGCTGGTTAGAGGTAGCTCTCCATCTTCATCTCTCCTTTTGGGAGAGTTCACTCTCTCCCATCTCCATTTTGAGTTTCCAGCTTTCCATCCTTCCTTCCTATCCCCTCTCCAGTTCCCTTCTCCAGCTCCTGTCCTGGCAGCTTCTTTGTGGGCCTGTACCTCCTGCTCTTTCCAGAGCTTTGCTTCCCCCTTACCAGTTGCTCCTCAACCGCTCACCCTCTTGGGCTGTCCCTGCTCATGGGCTGGTGGGGCTCCACCATCCCACCAAAGAGGCTATGCCCCAGGACCTGTCTGGCTCACCTGCCCCACTGCTCTCCCATCTTGCCCATGGTGGGATGGGAGGTGCTCAGCTGCCTCTGAACGCTGATGACAGGGAAGAGAATGGGGATTTTTGGAGCTTCTCCAAGGCAGCAATCCCTCCTGGCTCTCTCCTTTCCTGGAGGTGGGACCCACAGACAGCATATTTTTCATCTGAAATTGTGCCCATGTCTAAATATGGAGGGGCTGGCTGACCAGCAGGAGAGGGTTGTGGAGAAAAGTTATCCACCCTGTCCATCCCCCATGAGTAAGGAGAGCTTCAGGTGTTTGTTTTCAGTGTGCTACTTAAATACTTGCAGCCAGAGCCCAAAGCCCTGAGGGGGAAGAGACATAAGTGAAGGCAGTGTTAAATCATACAAATCCCTCTTGGTGGTTGAACAGATTCCTCATCAGAGCTTGAATGAATAGTAAGAAGAGTGATCGTGGTGTTAGATGGAAGTCTAATTTCAAACACAGTCGTTTGGTGACGTATCTCAGTCTACCTGAGGGCTCCAGGATTTCAAGTTAAGTCCTCAAAGCACTTTACAATGCAGACAAGACTTTCAGCGCTTAGCGTATGCATTTGAACACGTTGAGTGACCACAGACATGCCTGGCCTGTTGGCATGGCTCACACCCAGGGGCTGGCTAAGGGGCTGCAGTTGTTAATACATCATTGGTGTCACTGCCATGTGCCCCCCTAAATGAAGGCTGTGGAGGTAAGGAGTGTGTGCAGTTAGCAAGGCACTTGGCAACAGAACAGGCAAGGCCCAGCTTAAAACAGGGACTAATGAGACCACTGGAATTGTTTTCCCATTCTGGTAAGCAGAACCGTTTTGTCCTGCCTTGTTTTTAACTTGGAACCACTGTAAATAACTAAGATGAGGAGCATGAAATTTTGTCACATGTCTGATTAACATTTTGTCTGTTCTTAAGGTTGAACCAATGTTTGCCAGGCAGCTGTATTACTTTGCTCAACAAAACAGTGGACATCTTCTGAGAGGCTATGACTTACCAGAACTTGTGACTAGTCCAGAGGATTATCACAGATCTATCCGCCATTCCTCTATTCAAGAATAAGATCCTCAGAAAGAGTGTTTTTAAAGACACTCTAAAGATTATGCAGAGTGGAGGAGCAGATCTGGGTCGCAATTTGGAGATCCACATCACAACTGGATGTGTTCAGGGGTTCAATGATAGGAAAGTGAACTAGGACAACCATGTTGTATGATACAAATGATGGGTCTTCAACATTTGGATGCTACATCTTACATAGGTTCCACTGTTGCTGAGAATAACTCAAAACTGACGAAATTATTGCTATGTTTACGTTTGCTTACTGTTCTCCTTGGGTTTTGAGGACTGATTCTTACAGAAGACTTAAATCCAGAGTTTACACTGTTACTTTTGCAGGGCTATTTATTTTGGATTACTGATCTCAGGGAAGGTACATAAATTTGCAGTGTTCCCAATTTGAAACTGTAGCTACTATAGGTGGGTAGCAAACGTAGATGGTTTATTGAGAAGAGCTAATACATGTAAGTGGTTATAAATTTAGATTCATAAGTGTGATGCCTATATTCTTGTATAGAATATTTCAGTGTATTTTTTAAAAGCAATGCAATTCTTCAGAGACATATTTTTTTAACGCCTGACTGACATTTGTCCTGACAATGAATTTTGTTGCTGCCACTGTTATTATTGGATTAGCCCCCATAATAGCAGTTTCTAAGGTGATGCATTCATGGTACTGTGTTAAGAAAAGTGACCATTCAGTTCATATTACCTGTGGATTTAGTGTATAAATCACTAAAATTAGATCTAAAGTCCCAAAGAGCAGGTTTAAAAATAAATTACATTTTTCTTACAATTGAAAGCTACTGTGCGTTTTATATATATATATATGTATATATATGTATATATACATATATGTATGCATTAGAATTAAGTTGGTAGGCCTTGAAAATAGCACAAAAGTGGTCCTGCCAGCCCTTTTTTGATGACACATGCATGAGCCAGGATAAGGTAACCACCACCTCTGACTTAAACAGAGCCAGCTCTGCTCCGTGTGTGAACTCGAAGCTCCCTTCCAATGGTACGGAAATGAATGTGAAGGGAGAGTTCAAGGAGAGCAGCATTTGGCCTCTGATATTAAGACAGTCAAGGAAATACTTGTTTTGACATTTGTTTTCAAAAATTTTACAGATGTATGCTTTGATAAAACTTGCCGCTTTTAATGATAGGGTACTGTTATAAAGACAAAGAGATGAGGTCTGTTGGGTATGCATGTCAGTGAAATTTCCTCGTTGGCGAGCAGACCGTGTGATCTTATTAGCTTTAACTTCAGAGCATGATCTCTTTATGCTTAACAGACATACTTCACTTGACTTTCTAAATGAGGAAGAAAAACTGGTACTTGGTCTGGCAGCAGACTTGTGTTCTAGGGACTTTGAATTTATACATCTTAAAGATGCATACTCTTTTGGGATATATTATCCCCCTCCTTCTCCACAGTGCCAAGCAGAATTAACAGATCAGTTTTACTTTTGTGTTCTTTGTTACTTGAAGTGTTTTTCCTGGCTTAAAGATTTTCATAGGGGAGACCTCTTTCTTAGACATTAAAAGCACTGCTCTAGGTGACCTTCAGAGCTTCTGCATATGCTTTTGGCCTGCCTCTGCATACATTTTACTGAAAGGGACTTTTGTGTTCAAACTGAACTGGTACAATACAAATATTTGATGTGTTTTTCACTTTTTTCTAGTGGTCATTGCTTCATATGCTCATTGCTTCAGCTCACATCTTAGAATAAAGTCCTTATTCCCTACCAACTCGATTTCTATGTGTTGTTTTCAGTAATGGGGCAAATCTAAAGGGCACGGTTCTGCACTGAGAACCTGGGGAGCACTGCTGGCTATATCTATGGGGTACTGTGTTATAAGCCAGAAGTGCAGGGAAAGGTCAAAAGGTAAGGATTTTTTCTTACAAAAACATCAACGTTATTAGCTGCAGCTGGGGATCTGGTGCTGCCAGGCACCTGAGGGCTCTGCCCCTGCTCCCCCATGGCCTCGGGGGGGCTGGGGACCTGGCTGGGGACTCCCATGCTCAGCCCAGTGCTGGGGGACTCTGACCCACCGCTTGCTGGGCTGGTGGCTGGAGCTGGAGGTGGTGGTTACTGGTCGTTACACTTTCCAGAGTGCTGACAAGTGTGAAAAGCTGGGAAAGGGTGAAAAAAAGGATGGCAAGTGAACTGAAATAGTGAAGTTAAGAACAGGAGTGAATTTTACCGGACAGCCCCTGTTTACTGGAAATCCAGGTCCCGAGAAGGGTCCTTGGGTGCAGTAGCTTACAGGCAGAGCAAGGTGTGAAAAGTAGTTGCGAGATTTGTGAAGTGTCTGAAGGTGCGAGGAGGCATTTTCTCTTTATGTGGAGGCTCCTGTTGACTTTCAAGGTGCATTATAATTTTTGGCTTTGGAATGAGCTTTTAATTATTTCCCTCAAAGGAGCATGATTTAATGTCAGTGGCTGTGAAGCAGGAGGGAGAAGAGCCCCAGCTGTGTTCTGGCCAAACACGACTTGCTGACTTTGAATGCAGAGATGCAGGTGAAAGACTTACTTTAACCAAGCAGAGAGGTTGAGATATTTCTCTTGGAGGGATGGGGCAGTGGGAAGAGTAGAAGGAAAATCAAGCTGTTGATTTGTATCATAAATTATTTTGCATGTGAAGACTTCAAAGCTGCATTTGACTTTCGTGACCATCGCTTACTGTTCAAAATAACTAATGGATACGTAAAGTGGAAAAAAAAAAAGCAAACAAACAAAAAACAGACCAAGAAAAAAACCCTGAAAACATTTTCTCCTTTTAGTATCTTTTTTACAGTCAGTACGTGAAAGCATTTGAAGTACTTCCTACTTCTGTTAACTTCTGTTTATAGTTTCTGAGGTCTACTTCCTTCCTGTTATGATTTCGGTGGCGTTATAAATGACATGTTTTACTCCCATCAACACCAAAAACATGGCTGGTGTTTTTTCAAATGATATCAGCATGCGATTTGTGTCAGTGTTGGTTTCTCTGATTTTAATATGGCCACATTTAAAATTGTTTCTTGAAAGGGTTTTGTGCCAGAGCTCTGGAGTACCTATATTCAAAATTTGGTTCTGCTAAGTGGCTTTGCCTACTGCTGTAAACTGTATTAGCCTTAAAGGGATTGTAGGTTAACCAGAAATGAGAAGATATATTTTAAGCTGAAATACAGTGTAACAGGGTTTGTGGAAAAAACACAGGATTCACGTGAAAACCCCTGTGGCCTTTTAGAACGGGCATATGCATGCTGTTTACATCAGCATTTGTCAGCAGCGTGGAGGTGGGGAAACACCACCCTTAGCAGAGAGCTTTCAGGAAAAAGTAAAGCATTTTCTCTTGCACGCTCTCAGATCATTGTCTGTGTATACTTGCAGAGAGGCAGAGTGGGGGAGAGAGAGAAAAGAGTACTTGCCAAAAAAAAAAAAAAAAAAAGCACGGAGTAGTTTGAAATAATCATAATATCTCCTTTCCCAGGCAGAACTATATGTCACGTTCAGCTGAACTTGGACAGCAAGATTTTAAATATTGCCAGGGTGTTTTTTATCCGAACTCTAATCTGGCTAGGAGGAGGCCAAGAGTTATTTATTTGTGATCAAGTGCTTCTGATTTTGGTCAGCTCCAAAGAGAAGTTGACAGGTCCTGTGACTTGACGCAGTTAGGAGGTAGCTGGTTTGCAGCTCGTTCAAGCACTTGGCTTTCAAACATGTAGGCAGGTGAGCGCATCCTCTCTGCATCCCCACGGGGTGGTCACGTCCACTGCGTCCCACAACCAGCTCCACTGCTGGCCTACGGGTACCACGTGCCCGAGCACCTGCAACATGCTCCGTGCCTTGACTGTGCCGAAATGGCAGTTGAGAAGGAGCTAACTTAGGTGCCTCAGAATAACTCTCCCCGAACTATAGACATTGAATAACTGATGAACACGTTGATTGGATGGGCTGCCGTTGCTCATTTGGCAACTGCCAAGAGGGTAAGGTAACCCCCTGTGCTCGAGTGGAAACTGAAAAGCAGGCCAGATGCCTTGGTTCTGGTCTTGGATTTGTTTTTCCACTTTGGACTGTCAGAGCCTGACCTGAAAGCTGATGTCTGAGCGGCTCTGCATGGGGTTGTGTTTCGCAAAAAGGCAGTAGTCAAGAAAGGGTAGAGCCTATTTTCAGCTCTCAGACAGGAGTAGCTTCATGCCCTGGGAAACAATGGAGGCGAAACACAGGACTTCATTTTGCGAATGCGCTTTTATTGTTTCCGCAGCGCTGGCGCGGCACAGCTGCCTCGTGCGTCTCCGCGGGCCCGCTGGCCGGCTCCTGCCACCCCAGCCCCGTGCTGCCGGCCGAGCCCGGGCACGGGACCCTGCGCTGGGCGCTTCTCTGAAATCAGTCGCTCAGGCTTTGGCCAGCACCTCCTGCTCCCTTCAAAAGACAGGTCATGAATTACGCACAAATTCTGCCTCTCAAGCTAAGAGGACAGATTTAGGTGACTGCTTTACACAAGCTGCGGGCAACGTCTCCTCCGTATTCCTGGGAAGTGGTTTCATCTTTGACCCTTGGGCTTGCTCTGTTTTGGTTTTCAGATTGGCTTCTGCATTCTTGCTCTAGAAGTGTCTGAAATCCAAAAACTTGTGGATTCTGGTTGGCCTGGCTGCTCACCCCAGCTTTTAATCCCGCTCCTGGCCAGACAGAAATGATGTCCACGTAGTAGCAATGCAGCCTCCTACCAGAGAAGTTCTTTGAATGTCCATATGAAGCTGGTGAGGTTAGAGCAGATGATACTTGAGCTTGAGTCTTAGTAGCTGAAATATGCTTGCTAAGCTCTCTCAGCTGTATCAGCACTAGCGCAATGTGTGCATCACCATGCGCATGAAATGCATTTCATTGCATCCTTACCATGTTGTCCACCTTACCCCCTCTCGCTTCCTTCATGAAGAAGAGATGTTTAAATCTGGACCAGGCAGCTAGAGGAATACCCTGATTTCTGCAGGTCTGCAAGATGGAGAATCTCTCTCTGAGCTGGGGATGGCCAGCGCAGCACAGGCAAAGGTCAGGCACTTTCAGGTTTAAACACTTCTGCTGTTTGTCTCCAAAATGCATTAGCCTGTCTCTGTCCATGGGTAAGTCCTACTTGTATATAAAAGACTGTTTATCTCACCTAGTCTTATGCCTTCTCCTCCTTGTCTAATATAGGTACCAGCTTTGGTACATGATCATAAAGAAATTTTCTCCTTTACTGGTGGTTGCAGCCATCTGATAATCTGCATTGCTAAATACCTTGTTGTTGTGGATCTAGCTAACACTTTTGGCTCTTTTTTGGGTCCTCTCTCAACCTTCCTCTACATTGACAGCAAGATCTAAAGGCAGGCGGTGCTTCTTACTTTTTGTGCAGTGCCAAGCATGATGGGGCACCACCTTTGAAGGTGAGCCTCTAGACAACACCACAATTCCTATAATTGTGAGTAGGATGTTCTTGGGTCTTGCCAGTCGTGATTCTCACCCTAGAAGCCATAAAATGTTCAGCAGAATATAATCGTGGCAATCATTTATGCTAGGTTTTCCCATAGGAAACTGGTGTGCAGCTTATTTCAGCCCGAGCCACCACATTCAAATGACTTTTTCTCAAGGAGCTGATTGAATCAATTGTTTCTCACGATCCTGTTACAGCCATTCATCATTATCTCACAAAAGTGAAGGCTGAGCATTTCCAGTTTCTAGCACACAGCATCTAGCTTCAAATAAAATCGCTTTTAGAGCTGGATGCTCTACCTTTTTCCTTTCGAAATTCTCCTGGGTTTCATGATTTTTACATCCTCAGAAACCAAACTTATGGGTCAGGTCTAGTAACATCTCCAATAACTCATTTTCATTTCCTTTTTTCACACATGATCAAGAGGTTTAGCCCTCTTCATGACTGTCCCCTCCCACAGAAAAAACCCATACGAGGAGTAGCGAGAGATAAAGACTTCAAAAACAGGGTGAGTGACCTCATCATGTATCTACTGTAGAGACGTCAGTCTCCAAGAAATAGGAAAGGTCAGAGCTGTTTAGAGCAAGGGGTTTTTCACAACACAGCTGAAAAACCCAGACCGGGTCTGAAGTATTCATGCTATCCTCATCCCTCCTGTCTCTTCCCCAAATATTTGTAGACCCTCCATCCAGAGGAGTTGCTGCTGTGTGATTTTCAACATAGGTTACCATCCTGAAACACCAATCAGGATAGCTTTTGGCAGGCTTGGACTTTCCAAAAGAATATGGTGAAACAAATGACAAACAGTTGTGTGGGAATAGTGCAAAATCTTTTTTTTCCTTTTAAACGAAACAGACTTTTTTCTTCCAGAGCTTCTCTCACCCCCGGTATAACCAAATCCTGGAAGTTTTCATTGCACCACCTTAAAAATTGTATTATTTGGCCTAGCTAGCCCGGATGGTCGCTGGGCTTTGCACAGCAGATGGGGGAGAGGCGGACAAGCCTCCTCCATGGTAGCGTGGCAGGAAGGTGCTGGCGTCCCTGGGCACGGATGCAGGTCACCCGTACCCGCGCACAAGACAGCGGCGGCCTGGAGGGTGACTCTGAAGTCTCACTTTCCTTTAAAACCATCACTCTACAAATAAAATGGCTTACCTACAATCCCCACAGAGATACAGGCACCGTTTAAATATAGCAAGCGTTGATGTCTATCTGTAAATTACAAGGAAATGAATAAATCGAGGCGACATAAACCGCAAAAAGGAAGTTTGAAATCAGCCCGGAGCTGTGATA